AATTGCCTTCAAGATCTATTGCAATTACTTATATAATTCTTATATTCATAATAAAATTAAATTTTCCAACTTTTCCATAATTTTTTACAGGAATGAAACAAGTATGAGGATAACATTTGGGCTGGCATATTGTGTGCTGTGTTCTTCTTCTTAATCATTTCATTGTTGGCATTTCCGAATGGCCCATTTACCCGCCCACATCCAGCACTATGGCGTATAATATTCGGCTGCTCGGTATTGTATCTATTAATGCTACAGTTTCTCATGTTTCAAAATTACAAAACTATAATGAACATACTCTATTGGCTGGACCCGAAATTGCAAAACTTTCACATCGACATGGAGAAGGTGAGGACTTGGTTTTTATAAGTAAATATTCATATTCACACTGTATATATGTTTTCCAGGAATATGGTTCCAATTGCTCTGATTTCAGCTTTGAGCGCATAAAAAGCTCAATCGATGTATTCGCTTGGGGCCATTTTTTTGGCTGGGCCTTCAAAGCCGTACTCATACGACACGCTGGTATTCTGTGGGCTATATCTGTGATGTGGGAAATTACTGAAATTACTTTCGCGCATTTGCTACCGAATTTCGTTGAATGTTGGTGGGATGCGCTCATCTTGGATGTAATCGTATGTAATGGTTTGGGCATCTGGGTAGGCTTGAAAATTTGTAAAGCCCTCGAAATGCGCGAGTATAAGTGGGCGAGCATTAAGGATATTTCATCTACGACGGGTAAAATTAAGCGTGTTGTGTTGCAATTCACACCGGAGAGCTTCACATCTATACGGTGGCTGGATCCCAAGTCGACAGCGATGCGTTTTGCGGCAGTTTGTCAATTGGTTATATTTTGGCAGGTGCGTTTTTGTGTGGACTACTGCGAATGTGATTCTAGTTCTTATAGTAATTATGCTTTAATTAACAGGTGACGCGAACTCAATACATTCTTCATCAAGCATATTTTTGAAATGCCTCCAGATCATTATCTCGTCATTGGCCGTCTCGTTTTCATTGGCCTCTTTGTAGCGCCCTCAGTGAGGTAGGCGATTATTGCTTGTTGGTTTTGTGTGTAAATTCTTTAATGTTTTGCATTTAATTTTTCACTTTCTACCATTTTCATCGCATTTAGGCAATACTACACTTACGTGACGGATACTCGTTGCAAACGTGTTGGCACTCAATGTTGGGTGTACGGCGCTATTATGGTCTCAGAAGCAATACTTTGCCTAAAGAATGGCAAAGAGCTTTTCGAACGTACACAAGCCATAAATATTATTTTGTGGTTAATCATGCAGGTCATTGTATCAGTGGCCTTTGTTTATGGTTGCATGCTGTGGCAGGTTGGTTTGGCGTGCCTTAAAGGGATCGCTCATATAGTATATGTTAAATTCTATTTGTTTATATGCTTCGCTTTTCATTTTTCTTTAGCGCGCACAGAACAAGTATAATAAGTCAACGGAATCGCCCAGCAAAAAGGGTACCGCACAAAAAGACAGTGATTCTGCGCTAAAAGGCGTAGTGAAGGGTAAGTTGGCAGAAAATGCTTTTAAATGTGCACAGAGAAAGTTTTTGTTTAATGCTTCTGTGAGTTATTTAAGCTCTATGTTTCTTTGTTTAAAATTTGTACCACTTATGCTGCTCTAGCTTTCATTTACACTGTATAAGTATTTTTTTTAGCGAACTATTGGTTAACCCTACTACATTCTTGCGTTTTCCATATGGATGATGGACAGTTATTTAACTCCTTCGAAGCTAGCAAATATGATTTTCCCTTTCAAACCATTTATATAGTATATATTTTTTTTTGCCCAAACCCCTCTCCATCCCATTATTTTATATTGCACTTCACTCACTCCTACATTTTCTCTTGTGCACCTTTTTCGGTGTGTTTTAACATTTTAAACTTCTCTCTTTTCTCCTCAATTCGTCGCTACTTTGTGTCGTTCGTGTCTCCGTATAGACTACAATCACTTCTTACATCCGCAATCGCTCGCATTAAAACTAAAAAATGTTTTCAGAGAACGCTCCGATAGAACACTATGTGATGATACACTAGAAGACATTAAAATAAAAATCGTTTGAGAATTGATTATTTAGCATGTTAAGGCTTATTTAGCTTTCCTAATGCTTTATTTTCATAATTATATTTTAAAATTGTTTTTTGGTTGTTAAAAATACTTTTTATTGAGCCAGATTTTGCTTTTACAAATCTCTAATTTTGTACTCAACGGTCAGCTTTTGTATGAGATATACTCTGCGTTTCCAATTTCTTAGTTTTTCCTGTTTATGGAAATGAAAGATTCAAACCTCGGATCTCTGGAGTGACAGTTGCTAGCACTGGTTCACAACAAATAGCTTTCCGTGCAGGGTTGAAAATCTCGTACGCGCTTATCGGTAAGGTTTTCAAAAACTATTAAAGCTCCATATGTTTCCCGAAGAATTCACAATTTGCTGATCACTTTAAATTCGACTTACTGGAATTCTCGAAACTAAAGTGGTCCTCTCACAAATTCTGGGAAGTTCGAAAAGATTTGGCGGATTTTAAGCTTTTCAACCCATTTCTGAATCAAGTGAAAATTGTAATATAATAAAATAAACAAAATATTAATACTAATTTTTGGAATTTTTGAATTATAATTTGAAACTATTTAAAAAAATTTAATACAATTCTCAAAAATGCATGCTTGCCGTGCTATTTAACGAGTCAGTCAGAGCTTTTACGGCTATAATTTTCAGAAATATTTTATGCTGTTACAAGAGCTTCGCGCACCAAATATTAACAGAAAAAAAATAACGAGAACAACGCTGGTTTAGATTTTTTTCGAGCACCGCATTAAAACCATTTTTGAGTTTATTTTGATGCTCATGTCATAAAAAATATACATATTGAAAAATTTTTTTTTTTTTAATTACTAATTTTGTTACAAATTCTTTTTGTATTACTTTCTTTTAATTTATAATTCATTTAACTTTTCTTTTTCTAGGCAAGCAATCACCAAAAAAATCTCCAAAGCGCAATATTCAAAAAATTGAATAAAATTCAAAAGTAAAATTTAAACAAAAACAGAAAAAAGAGGAAAAAATTAAGAATCATAGGCAACTAACCAAATCATAACATCCGACTATTTATTCACGCATCGGTAAATAAATGCCAATAAAAAAGAGAATATATAACATCAGCGAAATTCTAACACTATCTTTGTCAAAAACTTAAAATGCGAGCATCTTAAAATTTAAATCTGTACGCTACTTCATTTTATATTACCAACACTATATAGCAATAATATATAGTTTAGTTATACTAATGTATGTATAAGAATATGCATATAATGAGTGTACTGAGTAGATTAATTGTAATTTAAAAAAAAAAAAAACAAAAACGACAAAAAAGTGTATGCATAAAAACTTGTAGATCGAAACCTTAGATGACGGCGTAAAGAATAAAAACTTAAAATAATTGTAAAATTAACGTGGAGATTCAATTAAGAGCTAAATTTAAAAAATTCATTAAATGTAACATAAAATGTAAAAAAATAAACAAAAAATTAAATCAAAAACCAAAAAGCTGTAAAAGTTATTGAATAATGTATAAATTAAGATATAAGAGGGCTTAAGCGGACACGGGTATAGTGAAGGGAATAAAATCTTACAAATTTATGTAAATACTTTCTTAGTGAAAACTCAAAGGACAACTTTTTATTCCAGATATCGATAAAATAATGAAATTTATAAACTAAAATCAGAAATAAAGAAAATGACCCACAGACAACGCATTGAATGTTACGTAACAAAAATTTATAAAAAACAAGTAATTTTTAAGCAAAATACAGAACCGACTTCAATTCTCATATAAAATTTAAGATTATCGTTACTTTCTTGATGATCCAATGATCGGATTTAAACCAATATAGTATGGGACCACCGGTGAGGTAACACCTTTCCTTTAAAATTATTGAAATCGGTTAAAGTGGTCCAAAGTTATGCGGTAATTTGCATTCAAAAAAAAATCCGACGAATTGTTAACTTTCTCCTTTTTGTAGAGTCGGATAAAAATAAAAATTATAAAGCTTGATAAAAATAAAAAACAAAAAACGTGAGAGCTCAAATTTATAAAACAAACAGCCATACAAAAAATATATTTTTACGTTCGGTAAACGAGACTGGCCATTCGCACAGATTTGCAGCTGCTGTCCTTGGCTTGGGTAGTTCTTGAACTAAAGAACTAGTTCCTCTCAATGAACTAAAGAACTAGTTCATCTCAATGAAATAGTTCACTAGTTCGGTCTTTTCATTGAACTAAATTTATCAGTGCCACTATTTAGCATTTTGGATCGTGATCCAAATATTCGTGGCACGAACGTAAAGATAGTAAAAATATGTTTAAAATAATCAACATGTGGAAGATCGACCTATGAATCTCGGCAGCTAGTTCAAATTCCGACACAAATTCTGTGCGAATTGACCACTCTTGCTTGCCGGCCAAACAAAAAGTTCTTTTGTAGAGCCGTGTAAGGGAAATAGCAACCAACCATAGTTGGAAAAAAATGTCAAAGAATGTATGTTTTGAATAGATAACATTGTCTTGAGTTTTATAATAAAATAAATAATATAGATTAGCTTTTTAATTTATATTAAAAGAAAATTTTAACTCAGGCCTTTGAGAATTTGAATATGGATACATAAAATATTATAGAAATATTTTTGTAAAAAACGAGCACTTTTTCTCAGGTTTTTTTTTTTTTTTAATTAGGATGAGTAAAAATCGGTAGTTTTTTCATTGGAATTAAAAATATTCAGCCTCATTGCGAGAGTCGTGGCGAATGCAAGTCGTTTTTCGAGAGTCGAATCGTATCGAAAATTTAGCGTCATTGCCTAAAATTTCCACTCGACTAGTGTATTAAAACGGAAGAACTTGGCAGCACTGCATAGTTTTCGACAATTTTCGTCGTTTACTTATTTCAGCACGACAGTAGACAATGCTAATGTTGTCGAGTCGTACAATTCAGCCTAATTTACGACTTACGCAATGAGGCTGATTAAGATTTACATGAGCTGCATCAATTTGAAAATACCATCAAAAATAAATGTTTTTTGTAAATAAAATTATATTTTTCCCAAAAAATTACCTCAGATGATAGAAGAGTTTAAGCACAAAATGTCTGCAGAGAAATATTTAAAAATGATATCCATGCAATCAAGTATATATATTGCGATTTTTTGAGGTATTTTCAAATCGGTCCAGCTCTCGTAAATCTTCCTACTTTTTCCGAAATATTTTGGCAGAAGCCTTAAAACATTTTTTCGTGAACACAACTGACTGGTAAACTTAGTTTTTGTCTTAGTACAAAAAAAAATTTAATTTTAGAACTTGGCTTAGGTTCGGAAATATAATTTAATACTGATTGCTATGTTTTAAACAATTTTGAAGACAAAACTTAAATAAATAAATGAAAAAACTTAATGGTAAATAACAAATTTATAATTTAAGTAAAAAATTATACCATGCAAAGTAATAGCAAGAATATATTGTGCCAGAGAAAATCAAAATTATATTTAAATTCTTTTTACAAAAGGCACAATACAAATGTGTATTGAAATTTCTTAAATGCCGTGTATTTAGAAATATGGACATACATAACAATAAACACTGTGAACTACAAATTTTCGCCTGCAGTAATTCAAACTGGAGACTGTTATGGGGTTTTTTTTTTTTTGAAAAGCAGTGAAGTTTCCAACTGAGCATAAAAGTTGTAGCCTTATAGAAGTCGTAGGACTGAAATTAGTTGCTCTTAAAAATTATAGATAGGTGTGCGAAGCATATCAACACGCGAAATTTTGTATAATTGTTAGACCGTCTTTCAGAATTTAACGCTTCAGCTCTGCTAAGCAAATTAGTGCTTTGTTTTTATATTTAAATCGCACATTTTAGTTTAATTTGTTTATCTGTAGACCTATCAAAATTTCACAAACTGTATCTGACCTCATTATATTGTAATTATGTATGTATATCAAGTTATTTTTTAAGCTACCTTTACACACCCATGCAATTATGATTATGCGTTGATTTCATATATTATGAAATAAAATGGCATGTGCACACTGTAGCCAAAGTACTTTTCATTTTAATTTTAATGTTAAACTTAATTTAACAGTATAGTGTACGTATACATTTTATAAAGCTTCGGAAAACAACCCTTGTAAAGTTTGAATTGAGTTTTTCAAAATCAAAACTAAAAATGTGCGTTTATATTTTTTTTGTAAATAAATACATAAAACAACATAAAATTAATTTTGTCTGGTATTTTAAGTAATTGTTTATTTTATTTTTAAAATAAAGGTGATTTTCCTAAATGTAGAATTTAACGCCTTTTATTTATGAGAAACAATCCAGAAAACAAACAAACAAAGTGAAAACTCTTGACATATAATTTTATGAATATTTGTTGGTAAAGTGGACTTTTCTAAAGGCTGGTACTTCTTGTAAGTGCCGTGCTATAACAAGTTTTAATAAGTAATTCTTCTTAAACGTTTTTTTACATGCTTTCATTTATTTTATAATTATATTAATGCAATTAAGAGTTATCAAAAATATACGTAGATATACTATATAAATAGAATAATAGATATTATAAATATCAATAGAGGTCTTAAGGGATTAAGTGCCAATTGTCAAGATAATTCTTATGTACATACATATATGGTTTAATCAGCCGGTGGAATATAGTTTGAGGACACTGAACCATTGGTAGCGATTTCCCAAAAAAATAAGTAGGCATATATTGACATACAACTAATTGAAATCCGTCGAGTTCTTAGTCTTGTTTAAGTTAAACAAAATTCAAAGCGTAATGCAGTTTTTGTTCCTTTTCGTCGTAATTATTTTGTTGCAGCATTACAATACATATTAGTGCGTAGGTCGATATGATTATTTCTACATGAGAATCTTCAAAATAGAAAAGAATCAACACTGCAAAAAACTGAGTTGCAAAATTATATATTTTATTTGAAATGTGCCTATCTGTAATTAAATTTTTATGGTTGAGATCAGCGTTGCCGAGTTGACGATTTCGTCGTCATTTTGACGTTTTTTGAGCTCAATGA